GTCCTTCCTACAAGAACGATCCGCTCGCGTACGACACGAAGACGGAGTAACAGACCCAATTCACCTCGAATGCGGGCTGCCACAAGGATCGCCCCTATCCCAAATTCTCTTCCTCCTCTACATGGCCGAAGTCGTGGGGGGCAGTAGTACGAGATATGGCTATGCAGATAATGTTGCTATCCTCGGCATAGGTTCGACGCCAACGGAGGTCGCAGTAGCTGTTCGGTGAGAAGCCGATGCAGTCCCAGGGTGGGCTGCTGAAAATGCCGTCTCCTTTGACCCAGATAAGGCCGAAGTAGTGCACTTCGTCGGCCCCAGATCCAGGGGACACGATCTTCCGGCTATAAGGGTAGGCACTCGCGATGTACAAGCATCCGACGACATCCGATGGCTCGGAGTACACCTTGATCGCGGTCTGACCTTCGAAAGCCACGTCGCAAAGTGGACCAGTAAAGCAATGCGGCTAGTGCAACACTTCCGGCAACTCACTCAGTGTACTCAGGGACCAAGACCCGACTTACTAACCACAGTGATCCGCACGGTAGTCCTGCCAATCGCGATGCACGCAGCGGAATCCTGGTACCCGGGGCCAACCAGGGAAACATATCGGGGTGTCGCGCGAAATTCATGTAAGAGACAGTGCAAAGTTATTGACCAAACTTCTGCCTTAGGAATTCGCGTGGCTCTACCAACCTGGCGCACCATGCCCATCGCAGCCCTGAGAAGGGAGACTGGCATTCCTCTAGCACACCTTCTGCTCGAGGAACGCAGGCTCAAGACTGCCGCACGAATCCGAAGACTATATGAGTACCATCCGCTTCGACTCCGGGTCATGGAAAGCACCGACAGCGCTTGCCATCGACTCGGACTAAAGACATGCAACAAAAGCAGACTTGGTATGGATAGATTTCATGATTCGAGGGTCCAGAGGATGTACCGACTTCTGCTAGAGGCTGAACTTCCGCCACCGCTCCGACCTCCGGTACCCCCTCAGCTAATTCCCCGTTGGAAAAATAAAAAAGAGGCTGCCAAGTTCATAAGAGAGTGGCTGCCTACACTCCAACCCGACTGTCTCTGCGTTTACAGTGATGGTTCTGGGGCTTCAACCGACAGAGTGTCATGGGCCATTGTGACTTTTATCAGCGGCACAGGCGCGGCAATCGAGCAAAACGGCTCAGGCAAGATTATCAACGCGGAGGTTCATGGAGCTCTGGCTGCTCTAGAAGCAATCACTGCTAGCAATCGAGATTGAGGACGCAGCGCTATCTACATCCTGCTCGACAATTCTGCTGTTGTTAAGGCCTTACTAACGGGAACAAGGAGCTCATCATTCTGGCGTATACAAAAGTTTGTGAAACTGGCCGCGGGATCTGCTGCGCCTGTCAAAATAGGATGGATTCCGGGTCACGAAGGGCTGGCAGGAAATGAAATCGCCGATTAACTCGCTCGAAGAGAGCTTATCTCGCCGGACAACTCTAGGACGACACATGATGTGATGACCCTCGCCTCTTCCAGAAGGAAAGCTCGCGAACTGGCCAGGCAGATGATGACAGACTGGTGGCACACGAATCGCCCCAAACACTACACTGATCTTATACTCGAGATGCGGCGCAAGAAACATCCAGAGCTAGCGCTACCGAGAGCGGTCTACGCTCGCTCAATACCCGCTCGAACCGGACATGGAGACTTTGCGGCATATCATCGCCGCTTCAACCACACTGACGCCAAACTCTACAGCGAGTGCGGGAGGGAAAAATCAATTGGTCACCTTGTTCAGTGTTAAAAAGCACTGGCAACATGGCGGCTGAAAAGCGGTAAGCGTAGGGCGCCGGCTCTGGAAACGATGCTTGGATCAAGGAGATGGCAGCTGTTTAGGGACTACGTCCAGGAGAGCGGGATTTACGCGGAGGCTAGTTGGGGGATGGCGGGGATACCTGTGACTCGGAGTTGATAGATCAAAGGCCTAGGTGGTCCGGCGTGGACAGAGAGATTGGAATCGAGGCTCAGGTGCGTGGTGGCTGAGGCGGAACGATGGAAGAGAGATTGTCAAAGTTTTTCTCTTGTAATGCAGGATTTTGCGTGGAAGTTTTTGTTTTTTTTTCAATTCTGGGCTGCTGAATTTGTCATGGCTCAACACATAGATGCATTTTGGCATGGTTCCGGTCATTTAGGTGGGTCGAGGCATTTGTACTGCACGGTAGTCAACCTGATCCGGCACGACCCCACTCGTGCTCAAGCTCCAGTAGGAGTGCGACGGTAGTTACTTCACCTAGCACGTTAATGAACAAAAAAACGCACAATTCGAGAAATTCGAAAATTCCCTATATCCCTTTTCCCTTCTCATGATTATTCCTGTGCTTGAGTTCTTAAATTGATGACCATCGAAAGGCGTCCCAAAATGCCCCCGGTGAAGAGCAAACGACCAAAGTCGACCATTTCTGTCGGCTTTGAACGGACAAACATGTGTCCAAAACCTCCTGGCCTCGCACAAAAGTTATCAAGCTTGTTTGCGAGTGAGGCCTTTGTCCCAGGGAAGTCTTCCACCCTTCCCGACCAAGAGATGACTGATTCTGATCCGATCAGAACAGAAACGAACAGTCAACAGACCGCGAAACCCGCCGAGCTGGCCCTCGAGGCAAGCAGCTCCAGGAAAGGAAAGGAGATCGTCAGAGAAAGGACGATCAAACGTGCAGAATCGTCTGCCAGAAAAAATGCTGTGCCAGCCTCAAAAGGCGCAGCATCTACATCAGCTATCGAGTTTCCTCCGGAGCTGCAAACCGTGATGGAGGCCGAAAAGCGACGTACGACGCAAATTACGGCCCGCCTCGCCATCTGCTCGACTGCGATAAATAGTGTTGAATCAGCACTTTCGCCTCTTTCGATCGGCGAAAATAAAGAATTCGTAGACGATATATAAGTCTACCTACGAGCAGCTATTGGCCAGTTCGTTCAATCCGGTCCAGGAAGCACACCACCAGTCCTTCCTGCCCGCCCCGCCAACCCTCTCTCACCGAGGGCTCCAGAAATTAGGGCACCTAACTCTACGAAAACCCAGGCTCCGGCCCCAAAGACAACTTGGGCAGCCGTAGCTCAGGCAGGCCTAGTCAGTAGCGCTGGGCCATCGACAAAAAAGGCAGCACCGCCCGCCCAGAAAGCAAAAAGTGCCAACTCGAGTGGAAAAGCCGATTCACGACTTTTTCTGCGCCTTGACCATTTCCATCCCCACCGTCTCCTTTCTCCAGCTGGAGTAAGGCTAGCGGTGTCTCAGGCGCTGGGAACCGCTGCCAACAATATCAAGTTGGTTCAGCGGGTAAAGACCGGCTTTGCAATAACCGCAAAGGATGAACTCGCTCGAACAGAGCTCCTAGATTCCTCCACATCACGGAGCGAATCTGGAATCAAACTGGAACCAGCATCAAATCTGGTTGCCATGCAAATTGCCACCGTCCCGGAGACAATTCGAACTCTTGCTGGCCCAATCGCCGTGACAGCAAAGATGGTTGCCGACGAAGTCACGCGAGTGACCCAGCTGGTTCCCTTTCTGGTTCGTCCTCATGGGACTAGCAAACCAGGGGCGCTCTATTCAAATTGGCAAGCGCTATTTCCACGAGAATCCGCTCCTCGACCCGGATTCCGCCTTTTCCACGACTCTGGAGCTGCAAAGTTCTTCCGACCTCGTCGTAAAATCGAACAATGCAAACGGTGTCTTGAATTTCACGCCACCCGTGGTTGTTCCCGCGCTCCAGCTTGTTGGAACTGCGGATCTAATATGCACTCAGAATCAGGGTGCAAGGCCCTCACACGGTGTCGAAACTGTGGGGGACCGGTGACAAAAGAGCAGCTCGCGCGGATCCGCCAGATCCAGTAAGGGGAGTTCGCGAAAGTGGCTCGATTTAGGGCTGCAGCCAAAAGGGCCGAAGAGGCAACGATGGCCTCAACGAAGGATGTCTCAATGGCCGAGGGATCGGGTCACGGAATTCTGGAATCCGAAGAAGAAGTCTGAGGGTACAGCAACCCTCGGTGAAGTCTACAAAAAGCTTCAAAATATATAGCAGGATACCAGCTGAATTTAGGTTATCTGCGAAGTAATCTTTCGCTCTCAGCGGAGATAAGAAAAAGTCACGTGGAAGATGTGGCAGGAAAGGGAACGGGCGAGAAGCGCGAGATTCGGACCAAATAGTATTTCTTCCAAATTTGATTTCAGTTTTTGATTTATGTTTTTGATTTTAGTTTTGCTGTTAACTTCTACAATTTCAGTAGAATTTCATGCGGTTGGAATGAGTTGGGCCTGTACGCAGTGATCCTTGCCGGCTCCACCGGTCCTTTACCCAATGTGGAAAAGATAGCGTTAGCTTAGGACCAAATGTAAAAAAATAAAAAAAATAAAAACAACAAACAAACAATTATATATTCTTTTGTCGCTTCTAACTTTTTCGCCGGCCAGTTGCCGACCATATATGGGGCAATGGATTATTAGTACTCATCTACTCGTGTTTCGCCTAACAGGATATTGGGTCCGCTCTGTCACGTTAGGGGTATCAAAATCTAATGATAGCTTAGCTTAGAGCACTAATGCCAAAAAAAACGACCTACTGATGTATTGATTTCACACTGTAGTTATCGGCAGTAATTAAGAACAGTCTATAGCGGTCTGTTTAGATTGCATGATGAATTTGGTGACAAGGGATAAGATAAGGTAATCTACTATTATTTTTAAAAGACGCTTATTAGACTGCCAATATTTTGATTAGTAATTGTAATTAAGAATACCATTCTGATGAAACATGCAGTAAGCAACTATTAGATTTGCACTAGAATTTGAATTTGAATTTGAAATCTTTTACGTGACAGGATTTGTACTAGAATTGTTTGTGGGAATAAAAATTTAAAAGATAAGGGATGAGATTAAGTCTTTTGAATACTAAATAGCTCCCCCTCTACTGCTTTTCTTTACTCAAAATGTCCAACTTCATTTTATGAGATCCTAATCTGTCTTTTCTTCAACTAGGCCTCGATTTAAGGCTTTCTTTCTCGCCTCCACGAGCTATAAGGTCTAAAAACCCTCTTTTGCTCATTTCATTTACCTTATGTTCTCTGTTTCCCTGCCCGACAAGACCGCTGGCTCTTGCCTCTTTGGCTGCTTCTTCTGCCTTGACTTGTGCAGCTCGAACGGCGTTGAATAGTTTGACAACACCTTTTTGTGCGGTCTTTCGTAACCTTACTTCCATCTCGGCAGTTTCTTGCCATGCAGGACCTTCAATACCATTGTTCGTTACATCATATGACTGGCTTGTGCCGAGAATATCTTTCACACGACCTTTGTCAAGAGCTTCACGTTTTGCAGCCCGCAATTTGTTTCGTGCCTTTTTATCCAATGCCGCGTCGGTAATTTCTTTGCTAGCTTCAAGCGCCTTGAAGCTACGCGCAAGGACAGGATCGCTTCGTTTAGAACTGGAAAGTTTGGCGTCAAGTATTCTACTCATAGATTTTGCGAAGACATTCGGATCGTGAGACTTGTTCTTTTTGATAAGATTAGGATTGCTTTTAAGTGAGCGTGCTGACCCATCGCTTTCTGAGTCACTGTTGGATCCATCAGTCACCTCTTCTCCGTCTGGTTCCTCTAATCTTCGAGGTTCTAAAGTATGATCATTAGTATCAACTTCAGAGACTGATTCTGGTGAAGTCTCGTTGTCAGAATCTTGCAGGCTAACTGGTTTGAAACCTAGATCCTGATCTTCATCGTCCGATGAAATTTTGGAATGTTGCTGTGTCCTTATTTTTTTAGATGATCGAATTGACTTCACGTGAGAACCATCTAGAGATTTTCGCTTTTTTAAAATAATTTCTGCCATTATGTGTGATTGACATTTCCTTTACCGAAGGGTAAACGCGGCGATTCTATTGAAATTCGGAAGACTTGTTTTTCCGGCCCCGCGACCTGAGATGTAGTAATCAACAGCCACCCCTCTACATGGCCACAAACATCTTCATTCACATTTGAATACAGATATCGCTATATTCCCGGGCATCAAAAATACTTCCTCATTCTAACTTCTTTAGCTCATGCACCAAATTTCTACTTCACAACTTATCGATCGCAATCTCGCAATTCTCGATACCACCTGTCAGCTTTTCTTCTGCCGCCGTAACTTGACATTTGTAAAGTTTCAAAATGGTTCTGCAGGATCTTGGTCGGCGTATAAACTCCGCAGTCAGCAACCTGACTCGGTCGAGTAACTTAGACGAGAAGGTCAGCCTATCTTTTTGAATTTTACCTCTTTCTAACCATGTAGACAGGCATTTGAAAGCATGATAAAGGAAATATGCGCTGCGCTACTTGAAGCTGATGTAAACGTTAAGCTTGTCGGAAATCTTCGAAAGAGCATCAAGTCTCTTGTAAACTTTACGGAACTAGCTCCTGGTGTCAACAAGAAGCGCTTAATTCAGAAAACCGTTTTTGACCAACTCGTGAAGCTTGTAGATCCCCACAACGAACCTTACAAGCCCAGGAAAGGTAAGGCAAACGTCATCATGTTTGTAGGCTTGCAGGGCGCCGGAAAGACCACTACGTGCACAAAATTAGCTCGACACTACGAATCAAGAGGCTTTAAATCTGGACTAGTTTGCGCAGATACATTTCGTGCTGGTGCTTTCGATCAGTTGAAACAAAATGCGACAAAAGCGAAAATTCCTTATTACGGGTCTCTGACACAAACTGATCCGGCTGTAGTAGCGAGAGAAGGTGTAGAAAAATTCAAGAAAGAGAAATTTGAAATTATAATTGTGGATACATCAGGAAGACACAGGCAAGAGGATGCTCTCTTCGCAGAAATGGTTGAAATACAGAAAGCAATATCTCCCAATCAAACAATTATGGCTTTAGACGCCAGTATTGGCCAGCAAGCTGAGGCTCAAAGTAAAGCTTTCAAAGAGACAGCCGATTTCGGCGCTATAATAATCACAAAGATGGATGGTCATGCAAGTGGAGGTGGAGCAATTTCGGCTGTTGCTGCGACAAATACACCTATAATATTTATAGGCACTGGCGAACACATGCTAGATCTAGAAAGATTTGCTCCGCAGCAATTTGTTTCGAAGCTACTTGGAATGGGTGACATGCAAGGTCTCGTCGACCATGTGCAATCACTCAAGCTTGACCAAAAGGAAACAATGAAGCACATTGTCGAGGGCGTCTTTACTATTCGTGATCTTCGGGATCAGCTGTCTAATATAATGAAAATGGGGCCCTTATCGAAAATGGCCGGCATGATACCAGGTATGAGCGGCATGATGCAGGGCATGGACGACGAAGAGGGCAGTATGAAACTAAAGCGTATGATCTTTGTCTGTGACTCCATGACTGGTAAAGAACTTGATAGTGACGGGAAATTGTTCATTGAGCAACCCACTCGAGTAACGCGGATCGCACGCGGTTCTGGCACGAGTGTGCGCGAAGTTGAAGATCTTCTTACACAACACAAGATGATGGCTGGCATGGCTAAAAAGATGGGGGGTAACATGAAGAATCTACAGAAAGCTCAGAGTGCGATGGGCGGTGGTAACAAGCAGCAACAGATGGCTGCTATGCAGAAACGCATGGCAAGTATGGGTGGTGCCGGTGCTGGTGGTATGCCTGATATGGGATCTTTGATGAAAATGTTTGGAGGTGCAGGTGGAAGTGGGGGCCTAGACATGCAAGCTATGAAACAACAAATGGGGTCCCTTATGGGTGGCGCAGGAAGCATCGGACGAGCCGGCGCCGGACGAAGTCGGCGCTAGTCACATCCCTCTTTCCAGAATCTGATTTTGACGGTACCCGACTGAGCGCATGGTAAATAAAAACATGGCTGCAAAAAAAGCGTGGCGTTTGGATTTTCTGACAATTAATTTATTTTAATTATCTTAATTCACTTTATGCACGGAAAAACACTACAATAACATACAGCAAAATCCGATAACAAGGAAATATTAATGCCAATGTTAACACACGACTCAAAAAATTCTTTAGCTGGACTCTTATGTATATAAGGCTATTCCCGAAGATGATTTGTACAACAAGACAATTTTAATTCAGAGATAAGGTGTTTGTGGATTTAGAAAAATTTGGCATAGCTCAATGTCTGCAGTTTAAGCCATTAGCTTTAAAAATTAGACTTGGGAACGCTGATCTTGTGTATGTGGATCCACACTGAATCTTATCCAAATTGATGTTGGAATATACTCCGACTGGGTAGCAGCCTACGGAGGAAGTCATCCTACAAAATAAGGGCTCAGATCACAAGCGGCAAAATATACCGATATCAGAGTCGATGCTATTTAGATGATGATCATCGTTAAAAGTAACATTCTAGTAATATTTTATAACTTGATTCTGGCTTTATTTTATTACTCAGCTATCTAGCTATGACTCAACCTACTAGCAAGGTGGAATACCCACGAAAACGGCGATAGCTATTCCCCTTTTCTGTATGCTTGCCCTCATTCACATGGGCCCACGAATGCGCCGCGATATTGTTTGGAATATCATACTTTTATATTGGAATACAATTCCTCTAGACGGGTGATACAATAGTACCTGAAGTAGAACTGATAAAGTGTAGGGTTAACAGGAGGTGTACATCTCACGGCACGCGCAGCATCAATCTGTGCTGCGACCATGCTCCTACTACTATGTGTATCAGTTCAGTCTATACGCTAATATGAGCCTAATAATACAGGGTATATATGATCTCCAAGCGCCTCGACCTCATACATCTATGTTAACATATATCACAACCCTAACTTCATTATGTTGAGGTTACATTATGTTTGATCAAGGCTCTTGTAATTTAAAATTGTATCCAATTATTTGATTATGGCCCATGACAACTATGTACAGTACATTTTAATGAATATCTTAACCACAGAGGTACCTATAGTGTGACGGAAACCCAGTTGGTTGTGAATAAATCGATTTATTAAACTATATGAGGAGAAAAGAGAACTCTTGCTACGACTAACAGGTATTTATAGGAATTGGTCCCCTTCGTCAATCTCCAGACTGATGACTTATCCTTAGGCACAATACTTGCTATCCAGCCACGCATTGCCAGGTGTTACTTAGTTGTAGTAACGCTTCGAACTCCTGACTAGTAGTGCCGCCTAGTTGTAAATATTCCCAACAATCCACTTAGATATTCACCTAAGCTCAAATAGCGGTCAAACCGTAACATATAGTCTCGAGTTCATTTGCAAATACTGTTAAGAGGCATGTTTTTTCACTGAGAATACTTGAACTTCCTAAATACTGAGCAAAGGGAAGATCCAAAATCCTTTGACAATCTATACACGTTTTTGTCGTCCATATACACCAGTTTCGCTAAAAGTGTGATGAAGTACTACTGAATTCAAGCCAATCATCTCATTTCTCAAGTGAGCTAGGTGCCTAAGATATGTAGACATCACCCGGCAGATCGGCTCGGATAATGTGTTGCTGCACCATCCCGCCACGACTGTATTTACGGTGTCGCCGACACTCTCGGGAATAAAGTCATGCAGCGCATAATTCCCTTCAATGTTTAAAATTGCCTCCCAAAAACGACACCTCACTTCGTTCGAGAATAAAGTAGTTGAGTCTCTTGAATCATTGCCTCGTGCGCCTACTTCTTTGGTATAGCAGAATTTGACTGATCCCGGGTCTCTGAGGATGTTTAACTCCTCGGTTCGTAGAAGATATTGCGAAAGTCTTTTCTTACTTTAACGCATTGCTTCTTCCTGTGTATATTTCTGGCAAAGACGAATTCTTCACCTTCCAGTGGTGCCAGTGTAATCGCTCAGTATGCTCTGCATACCTGGTATACCAAAGAAGAATTGCATCCGAATCGAGGTCGGCAGCAAACACATACATATCTCCATTTAAAGACTTCTCAATCATGCAGAACTTACCATTATCCTCTGAGTCCTCAAACTCTTTCTAACCACATATTACCTCGCCTCAACGAACGATGAAGACCTCACCCCAATTGCAAACAGGAGCTTGCCTCAATCATTACCGACCATCACTCACTACATATTTATGACGCCACGTATACCCGCAAGGAGGAAATTAAGTCATAATATACAAAGTTGGGGTCTTGGTTTATGGGGGACTGGTGCTCAAATGGGGTAATACATCTTGAGGAAGGACAGGTAGCTGAGATGTGGAGCTAGAGAGGGAAATGGTCTCTGAAGGCTATATTGGGACTGGCATTTTCGAGGGGTTTTCAGCTTTGGAATGTTTGTGGGTGCTAAGACCGAGATTTCAGCTAATTAGCCAGGTGGACTTTAATTATTGATGAGTCAACGACACTCCCCAGCGCCCTAGACTGCGCAAAAGAAGTTAGGCTAAGCTACCATATATCAATCACGCTCTGTCAAGACTTTTCTGACATTTCAGCACAACCTTCGGGAAGGAGTTGGAAGGAGGCTAGAAAGGCAGATTGTGAATTTCCCGAGGTACCCACAAGACTGCAGCATCCAGCTGGCCGGCCTCTTCGAACGCTTCAGAAGAGTCACTATGTCTCCGGATTTAGTCCTAATGTCGGTATTAGGAGAGCTCCGCACCCAGTGGTTTTTGCGATTTTCCCCGGCTGCCATACACCCGCAAATGGCCATCTGTTACGGTTTGACCGCTATTAGAGCTTAGGTGAATACCTAAGTGGATTGTTGGGAATATTTACAACTAGGCGGCACTACTAGTCAGGAGTTCGAAGCGTTACTACAACTAAGTAACACCTGGCAATGCGTGGCTGGATAGCAAGTATTGTGCCTAAGGATAAGTCATCAGTCTGGAGATTGACGAAGGGGACCAATTCCTATAAATACCTGTTAGTCGTAGCAAGAGTTCTCTTTTCTCCTCATATAGTTTAATAAATCGATTTATTCACAACCAACTGGGTTTCCGTCACACCATCGTTTCGTTAGCTGGAGAGAGGAGATAATGAAGGGGAAAGAGCTCCTCTAAGTGGATGATCGAATGAGGACTTTTGATGAGCAGTACTGTTTGAGGAGAACTGTATGGGAGGCATAGAAGGTGATATACTACTAGTATAGGTATCCTTGGCCTGTAGGCAGAGAAGACTTGCATGTCCAACGTAGTCATAGACTCAGACAGGATAATAAAATGAAATAATAATAATTTCTGTGTATATTAAGGATTCTGAGACACCCGCATGGACCTTATGGACGCCAAACGGGCTAAATGAGACCAATTCACAATGGTTATACTTGAATCTTTTCAAATCTCTTCAGTAGCCTTTTCTCAGCTTAAATTTGGGACATTGCAAGATGTACCTCTTTAGTGTGTTAGCCATTCAATACACAATCGCAAGGTTTACTGAACTGCAGACGTGAATCACCGACTTCTAGTACACTCACTTCAGATCAGGTTCAAGAATTATCGCGAGTGATGACCGTCGACCACATCCAAAATCTGTAATAGACGATTCAGAGTAAGAACTGGTCATCACATGATTGGTGCCATGTAAACGTGTTGAAATACTTTTTGACGTTGAAGACGCATGTACTCTAGATTCCATTTGCAAATACCACTTCAAGGTATGTTTGGTTGCACAGACAGTCGACCTTCCTTCGTGAGCACCCCCAAAGGATAATTCAAAACCTTTGATAGTACAAGCAAATTTGCATACACATGTGGATTTGGATCGTGAGAAATATGCCAGTGAATTGCAGGATTCGAACCAGCGATTCCACTGTCTCCGCAGTGATGCGTATTCCAGCTACCTAGTATCTACCAGGAGATCGTACCAAGTGATGTGCCATTGCACCATCTAACCACAGCACTGTGGACCAAGTCGCCTGGAATTATGCCATTGTATTCGTATGAAGATTTGCCAAGCCGCCAAGGCTACTGAACTTATTTTTAACATGGGCATGATTCTAAAGGCCTTCTCGATAGTTACAGATCTTACCTTTGCTCTTTCAAGCTGTCAACGTCCCACAACTACAAGTGATAAATAACCCAGAATATCAACATGCATCTGATGTACACTCTCGACGCCAGCGGCAAGCGTATCTACACGCTCAACAAAATTGTCTCAGGCGAGGTAAGTAAGAGTGCGCATCCAGCTCGCTTCTCGCCGGACGACAAATACTCAAGGCACCGTGTTACGCTCAAGAAAAGATATGGATTGTTAATAACACAGCCAAGTACGTAGCAATGCCATCCCTCACGATCTTTAACTACGCAGTTATCACAACAGTCATCTGCTAACCTTTGACAAAGAGGATATACGAATACTAGGCCAGTAGTGGAATTTTGAAAATAGATTACAAACAAAGTTTAGAGACCTTGGTATCAGCGCAAAAAGAACACGAAAAATTATTCCCACACGAACAATTGAACAAACTACGGCGGATACATTGGAATTGCTTTCACAAAGCAATTTTCTTATAAATGATACCAGTACCGTTCACTAAATGAGTACGTGCAAATAAAGATCACATTCGGATTTTCACAAAAATAATACTTACTGATACATGATAGGTAGTCATGGCCAGAATCTTGGCCCAACGTGATGCCTATCCGAAGCTGTAGACGCAGAGACCATACTTGGGAAACATCTTCATTAATTCCGATACATCGCGATTGTAGACATTAATCCTATCTATGAGAGTCATTCAATTCATGTCATTAAAATTCATACAAGTTCATAATGGATTAGTCTAAATATTTCATCTTCTTTTCTTCGAGTTCACGTTTCTCCCAGCACCAACTTTTGGCTTGCCTCGTAATCTATCGCCACGGTCTCTAGATAAAATAGAGGGTAAGTAATCTTCGTCCATCAAATCTCTGTCTTTGCTTCTTCGTTCCTTTGTAACCGCTCTGATATACTCCCTTTGGTCTTCTGCGAGGATAAGACTGTTTCCCCATCCGCTTTTTCCTCCGCCAACAATATTTTTCCCGTTTGAAGTTCCTGCGACGGGCTTCGGAATACTGTACACATTTCCTCTTGTACTCCATTGCATATTTTTCTTTAGATATATTTTGAAGTTTCCCTCCTTGTCTGTGGAACAAGCAGTTCGTAGAAGAGTAGGCTTTCCACATCTACCACAAAACTGCTTATTCATATCTTTTGTGATACTAAAACAGCCGTGACATCTCAAGACCCATGATTTGAGCTGTGAGATTCTTTGAAGTGACAAAGAGAGCAGGTTAAGGTTCATGCGTAGAATAACATTTTGCATAGCATAGTCGGTAGTTATTATCGCAGCCTGCATAATCTTTGGTACGGTTGTTGGCGAAACATTCGATGACTCATCAAGTTTTTGATGCTTTTTGATGTTCGATGGTGTGATCCAGCCCTCTCCATCTGATGCATCGTCAAGTTCGGATATCGGCTGAAGGACTGGCTCTGAAGTTTGAGAAGATGACACTTTTGGAACCTCTAAATTGGTATTTGTCCTATGTGAGTATACAGGGCTTCTTATTTCATAGACGTGAGTCTTTTCGAGGATCTCCTCTAGGCCTGTCTGCTCTGATCTATTTTGGGGTTCAGCCCGGTCAATATATTGGTCATCAGTTGCGGTCTGGGGGCTAATTTGACTATCGGTCTCGGACAAGGTATTTTCTGAAGTACTAGTGATAGGTTGTTGAGGACTTCCATTGAGGCTAGCTGGTGGAGATCCATTTAATCTTTTTTGCCCTGGTATGCTTCGTAAACGCCAATCGCCATGATTTCTCTCGCATTCGAGCTCGTATGCGAGAGCTACGAGATGTATATCTGTTCGACTAAGTACCTCGAGATCGCCGGTTTTTCGCGCAAATTCATGAATAGTCTTTATGCTGGCAGGACGAGGAGAGCGAATAGTAAGAAATGGAAGCAGCAAACTCTCAACCCGGGCTCGGGTAACTGCGTCACGAATTTCTTCTATCACTGCTGGTATAGTGTAGAGGGTTTCAGCAAGACTTAAAAGTGTAGAGGCGGAGGTTTCATTCTTAATAATTGGTCCTGAGTCCAGAACTAGAGAGTGCACAGATTTTGTGACGTCGACCGACATTGAAACGCAAGTTGTACGGGCTGCGCTGGATTTTGTGGGCGCATCAAATCCGTGAGAGAAATTGACCTAGCTATGTGCGTGCTCGGCTGAAGCCGAATCTGTATTGCTCTTAGTATCCGCCTATCTCACGTGACAAGTATTGGCCCTGAAATGGAATAGAATAGAATTTTATTTGAGTCACTACTAAGTCAATGGTAATGAAGGACTGCTTGTACCATTTTAACAGCTTTAGAAATTAATAGTAAATTTAATTGTTATTATATTTGATTTTTTGCCAATAAATAATGAGGGTCTTGCTCTAATTGGCCCTGAAAAGTCATGGACCAAGTGTAAAGTTCTACTCAAAAATTGAAAATTATTAAGGTAGCAAATAATGTAGTAGAAATATTAATTTTAGATTTAGATGTGTCTAGAGGTTAATTTTATTTTATGCAAAATTGTCCTACTAAGCTTATAACTATATAAAGATATGGAGGTCCTCTCTACCTATAGACCAAGGATATCTATCTAATAGTATATCACCTCCTTTGCCTCCCATGCACTTGAAATAGAATTTTGCCCTCCATTATCTCCCCTTTCCAGCTAACGAAACGATGGCCATTTGCGGGTGTATGGCAGCCGGGAAAAATCGCAAAAACCACTGGGTGCGGAGCTCTCCTAATACCGACACTAGGAATAAATCCGAAGACATACTGCCCCTTCTGATGCGTTCGAAGAAGCCGGCAATCTGGGCGCTGCAGACTTGCGGGTACCTCGGCAAATTCACACTCTGCCTTTCTAGCCTCCTTCCAACTCCTTCCAAAAGGTTGTGCCGAAATGTTAGAAAAGTCATGACAGAGCGTATTTGCTGTATGGTAGCTTAGCCTAACTTCTTTTGTGACGTCCAGGGCGCTGGGGAGTGCCGTTGACTCATCGAAAATTGGAGTCTGGCTAAATTGCCGAAATCTTGGTCTTGGCGCCCACAAACGTTCCAAAGCTGAGAACCCCTCCAAAATGTCAGACCAATCGTTCCCATATCCGACTTATTCCCCTCTTTGTGAGTATAGGTTGCGTCGGAACTTTTAGTAGCGGGTGTTGGTTGATTTTCGATGAGCCAAATTTCCGTTTATACTAGGTGCGTAAAATAATTCAGAATTAGAAGTGAGTTGATTTGTGGTATGAGTAAGTTGAGGACTCGCGTAAGAATTATAATACCAACATTTATATTTGAATTCATCTGACCTGATTTGGCGCCCTATGGACATATGCAGCAGGCTATAAACTTTTCTATATATTTACTTGAGGGGGGAACCATTACGACAAAAACCTGTCGGAGATTCTGACTCTCGAATTTAGGACTCCACCATTCTCTGTTTCGTCTCAGGTCCCCGACGAGATCGACTCTCTCTACACATGTGAGGTCCCTGGGCGCGCGTTGTGTACCTGGTAAATGGTGGGTGTTGTTGTTGTTTTATTCAAGTCCTAAGCTAAAGCTCCAAATCCACTATGAGTACAGGACCGATGTTCACAGCCAGAACTACATCTTAGACATACCCAGCTTGATTCAACCACATGAACCACCACAAAACCAGCAGTAAGTTAAAAATATGCGCCGACGCGAACTCCTTTTCCCAAAATTGACAAGAGAAAAAGACATATTGCAAATAAGTTAGAATGGGAAGCAATACTCCTCGCCTCGATTACCATTTTGTCAGGTTTAGTTTCCTGACGAGTTATATTCGATCTACACTGAGAGTAGGAGATGGATGCACAGGAGAATACCCAAAATAATTGGTATCCTGCGTAAATTGTTTGAAGCTCTCGAAGCACTTAGGCCCGAGTAGCTTGTGTAAAAAGGCACTGTGTGACAATGACCCTCTGATTCCACGCGTGATATTTGCGTTGAGTCGACAATGTATGAAGTGGGTAGGGGTGGTTTCCTCCCCACAGATGCACTCTGTAATAGCGTGTAGATTGTTGAAGCGACGATGGTACGCCGCGAAATTGCCGTGGCCCGTACGGGCTGCAATGACATGTCGTAACTGTAGCCTGGAAAGCCCCAGTTCTAGTGGTTTACGACGGCGCATGAGCAGATCTAACTCACGATACCGTCACGGGCAAGTTTCATTCCACCAGCTGTCGAGCAAAGTCTGTCGCTGTCGATGCGATTTTTGGTGTAAAAATGCTGTCGTGGTGGTTGCTGGTTCAGTTTCCACTCTGGGAAGCGTTCGTAGGGCGGATTTGGCCGCTGCATCTGCTTCCTCATTTCCATGTATTCCTGAGTGTCCTGCTACCCACTTTATTCTTACCTGAGCTAGCCCAGATAATTCGCGAAACTTTCGTACTTCCTCGTGGCTGGTCGAGGACCTGCCCGTGCTCAGTGCATTTATCGCATGTCGACTATCCATAAACATATTAATGCACTGCGTCGTTCCCTTCGCCAGGTACTCCTTCCCTATTAGGTGACCCAAAGCTCCTTTAAGAGCTTCCTGTTCCCCCATAATCTCTGCATCTAAAGCCTCTCCACCGTGCTTTATGCCACTTCCTTTTTGAAAAGTTGTCCCATCCAGCTTTAGGACAAACCCCCAAGCTGAGCGTCCGTTTCCTTCTGATGATCCGTTCGAGTACGCACAGATTTCTGACTTTGGCACATTAGTGATCCAAAGTTTACAGGCTTCTACTTGGTCTTTTCTCGAACCAACCTTCGAACCCTGCCACGATTGATAAAATGGTGGGGCAAGAGGTTCCGCGGCCTCTGCCTCTAGTAGCTGTCTATAAGCACGCTGAGCCCGTGACATTTGAATTTCAGGACGCGCAGATTTTCGATTGTGCTTCTTATATTTTTGCGTACCGACATTTGGGCAAACTGCAGCACGGATCCTGAGCGGATGGCGGTCGTCAAGTGTTTGCATTCTGGCAGAGAGGCGAAGTCGATTTCCTTCGAGAATGATTTTCCCGGTTGGTATTCCTCCTTCCCTATATAGTACAGCGTTGGGTGTTGTTCTCATTACCGGTAGTGCTGACCTAAGACCCATTAGGACAGCCTAATCAATCATACTACATAGGCCAGCAGTGGGCGGTGTCACTATCCCTCGTACTGTTGGGCGTCTAAGGCCAGGCCACCAGACGTCAGCCCCGTACGTTGCGATTGGCACAATACATGTGTCGATCGCTTTAACCAACGCCCCAGGAGCGGCTCCTCGATAGGCTGTATTGAAGCGACGCATGTGCTGTACAATTTTCAACGCTTTGCCACACCAAGTTATGACGTGGTGTTTGAAGTTTAGTCGAGGATCGAGGTACACACCAAGCCAGCGGAAATTTTGCGACGGTTCTATGAGGCTTTCGTTGACATAAATTCCAACAGATGTTTCGCGGTATCGTCCAGGGAATTGTACGACTTCGGACTTGTCTGTATCGAAAGCGACAGCATTATTTCGAGCCCAGTCTAGTAGGTTATTGACCTCGTCCTGTGCTGCGGCTGCAGACTCTGCAATCGTCCGGCCAAATCCAAGGATACCAATATCGTCGGTGTGACGGAAACCGAGTTGGTAATGAATAAATCGATTTATTAAACTATATGAAGAGGAAAGAAATCTCTAGCTACTACTAACAGGTACTTATAACGTTTGGTCCGCTTCGTGAATCTGCTGACTGATAACTTCCCCCTAGGCCTAATACTTGCTACTGAGCCAAGTATTATCAGGAGCCATTACGCTATGATGTTGCTTCGACCTCCTGGCTAGTAGTGCTATTTCATCTCTATTTGCCCATCCTTCCTCTTTCAGTCTTATCGTAATTATTCCTAATTAAACGCTTAGGTTTCCTCCTAAGCTAAAACAACGGTCAAACCGTAACATTACCCCCCCGTTTACCCTCTCTTCTTCTCCTTCCTTGACGTTGGACCATTATTTATCTCCGCTGAGCCCCATTTCTCCTCCCAAACGTCGAGTGCTAGAGCATCTTGTAAATTTGTAAGTGATGTCCACTCTGGTTGCGCCATTCCTGTCCACTTAACCAAAGCCTGTCTCTCTCCCTTTCTTGTCCTGCATCTAAGCACTTCATCAATTTGGTACTCTTCCTCGCCATCATCACCAGTGATAGGGCCTGGATTTTCGTCCTCAAGAATTTGAGATGGCAACGGATTTCCTTCTGCTGGTAAGAGCATATCCACGTGGAATTTATTATGTATCTTCCCAGGAATGTTGAGCTGCACTACTTCAGGCGAAATAATTTTTGTTACAGTATATTTTGCATGCTGCCACCCCAACTTTTTGGAAGGTTGGTCCTCTAACCTAATATTTCGCAGCAGTAGCCAAACTTTATCACCTACCACATATCTAGGTGCTGGTTGTCTCTTTTTGTCCGTCAATTCTTTAAAGCGTTCTTGAACGGCTGCCATTGCGGATTGCATAAAGATGGTAGTTTCTTCCAGTCGCTCGACAAATTTTTCAGCCCTTTCCTTTCCTGTTGATGCAGAAATAGTTGAATCTTCGGAAGTGGTTTGGATAGGATTGACATGGTACCCATGTGTCGCGAAAAACGGACTTATGCCGCCAAAGGATACCACATCTCGATTATTAATTGCAAGTTGAGCCGCAGCAAGACAATCAGACCAATCATGTTGGGTGTAGGAAACATATGCCCGTAAGTAGGTTTGAACTTCCTGGTTCATTCTTTCCGTTGCCCCGTCAGTTTGAGGATGATAGGCTGTGCTTAATCTCTGTTCTATTCCAACCAATTCACACAATCGTCTCCAGAACTTACTTGTCCAGTTAGTACCTCTATCGCTAGTTAAGGCTTTCGGGAACCCATGATAACGCCAGTGACATTCCAGAAATCTCTTAGCACAAGACTCCGAATCCATTTTCTCCATGGCCTCTAGTGTCACCGATTTTAACAATCTGTCAGTGATTACCATAATATTTGTTGCTCCATTTGAGTTTGGTAATTCTACCATGAAGTCTATAGAAAGCTCTTGATGAAATCTATCGGGTACTGGCAGTGGCTTAAGAAGTCCT